CCTTCAGATGTTATTGAAAGGCCCATCTCTCTGACTGTGGCATCCCTCATGAGCCAGCTGCAGGAACACTGCACTCAGTCAATAGCATTTCAAATCACTCCCTCACTGAGCTGATCAGAGATTGAACACACACACACACACACACACACCTCAGAGAGAATATGTGCATAAAAAGAGTCAAAGTTAAGGATGATCAGTATTCACACAAATGCCAACAACATGACATAAAGCACATGGTTATAGAGAAGCAAAAACTATTTCCATTAATCATGTAGCCTCTTTCACACAAACATTTGTTGTGATATTTCTGTTCCGCCTGCTTGCATTCAGCAATGCACTATAATGTGGTGCCATCCAAAAAAACACTTTACTGTTTACTTTATATTGACTGTTCCATGCTGGTGGAATGACCTGCATGTCTAACTCAACCCGAGCAGGTATTCTCAAGAAACAGAAGTGTGTTCATAAGTGTTTGATTGTCTTTTTCGTCAAGAATTGACCCATTAATTCTATCACATACTATTCTATATTTCTATTTAATCTATTTTTTTATTTAATAAAAAAAAACCTTGCTACTTGTCAGTCATATTGTTGCCCTGTTACTGTAGTTTGATTGCTTCTGTTGTTCTCCTCATGTGTAAGTCACCAGACGTTGCTATCAAATGCACAGAAGCACTGAATCATACACACTTTGTGAATAAAACCAAGAGATCCATACCTTTTACTGCAATACATCAGTTTTATAGAATGTCTAAGTAGCTATTTTGAATGTTGTGACATAACACTTTTGTAATGTAGCCTAGTACATAGACTTCAGAAAGTATGAAGGTACAATAATAATTTTAAACAATTCCTGAAACAGTTTTGGTTTTGTTGTTTACATTGGTTTAGGAAAATGAAGCCTCATTTGTGTTTTGCCATTTAAAAAGAAAAAGTACATTTGTATGTGAACAAACATCATCAAATGTCAAGAAAAATACTATAAATCTACTATACTGTCAAATGAATTAAATGGAAACAAAATATTCCAAATGTATTCATCCAAATAGAGCAAGAGAGAGAAAAATACAATGTGTAAATGTGAATTTATGTTGAATCAGTGTAGAATTTCTGAATGATTTATATGTCTTTTACATCTTTCACTTTGCATAATTGTGTACAGTAACATATAATGAAGGTCAGAGAAATTTCCATGAGATTTCTAACTGTTAGCAAGGCCAATTCTAACTTATTATCTGTTAAGTGATTATGAAGTTTTACCAAAAACGCTTACTACAGTGATATAAAAGACCGAACTGGCACCCTTTAGTGTCAATATGAGACGCAGATATATGGCGCCTCCTAGTGGTCTAGCCCTAACCGAAGCGTGTTATATTGACGCTAAAGGGTGCGATGTGCATTGGATGTACGTGCTTTGGCAAAAGCGTCAGTATATGACGCCTTGGGATGAGAATGCGTTGGAATGTAGGCTATAGATAGGAACAGGCAAGCGGACTCAGAATATGAACGTACCGCGCAAAGTTTCACGCTAAGCGATTCCCAGTGAAATTCTGGCATAGTTGGCTTGACACTGGATTCGATTCGATATTCGCATATTTAGTTTCTAAAGTTACATCAAAAAGCAATCCTGACATTGATTGTTATTAAAACATTACTATGTGATGTCTAAAATATTCCAGCTTCATATCCAGCATCATCTCTGGTCAGGAGGTCTGGAGACTCTAGCCTGATGACTGCGATCAGGACCCGCTGCAGAACCGACCCAGACACTGATCCAGGAGCTATCTGGCTATTTATCTCTTCTGCTTTCTGAGTTGTCTATTTCTGTGTCCACAGGTCAGACTGACTGGGAGGGGAAGTGGCAGAGAGGCTGCAGAGCCCAGGTGATGGACGACTTTCCATTTATTTAAAAGACCTGCTAGACGGTCTGGCTAGAAGTTATGGCTCAGTTAATAAATCATTTGTCATTGAATAGAAAGTTGAACGTTTTTGATGTCGCTACAGATCCAAGAGGAGCTGCTTCCACTCAGACAGATTCTTCACCGCGCATTATGTCTACATAATCTTCATCCCTCTATGAGGACAATGTACCTATAGAGGCAGTTATGTAGAGAGTTTAGCAGCAGATGCTCGTACAACCTCGATTGGAGGTGGAGTGGCCATAGATCGGATAGCCGAAACGAACAGGGCAGTTGTGGCAACTGGTGTTTGTCCAGGTCCGACAGCCATGAAAGGTGGCAGTCAAGTTTATGTGGAGCCAACAGAGACTTCGAATGGCCTAACTCAGGGGTCGGGAACCTATGCTTGCAAGCCATATATGGCTCTTTTCAGGATTTTATATGGCTCTCCCAATTTTCAAATGTTGACTCACTCAAAAAGTCACTCAAAAATAAAATATTAAGAGACAGTTTGAGATGCACCATGCAGCACTTCTTTATGATGCCCGTTTCTCAATTTGTGTGGTGTCATAAGGGGGTCGCACACCGGACGAAAAGCGCGCGCCGCGTCTAGGACAGAGGTATCGCACACCGGACGCACCCTTTCTCAGTTTATGGCCAGCAATATTGTTATGTTTAAGGACATTATGGAATTAAGATAATGTCTACGTTATAATTGTACACATAAATGCAATCGTTGCTATAAGTCTGCAGAACACTTTATCTTGAGCATCCGTTAACAGAATGAATTGCGGATTTCATCCGATAACATCAGCAATTTTCATTAAAGCAGCTGATTTCTGAAAAAGAATGTAAAAGTAAATTGCAGCACACGTTGACGTATGTACATTCACGACGGTTTGAGACAAATAAATGTACATTTTATATAAAACTAAAACTATGTAAATGGCCCTCTGTGGCGAGGCAGGATTTTGAACAAGGCCCTGAGTCGTTGCCGGTGAGTGAATAATGTTGATAAAATTGATAAACATACACATAAAGCAAAGGCTCTGTACAGAAACAGTTAAAGGTGAAGTATGTAAGATTTTTAATACATAGCTCAGTGAATAGTGAGAGTTTGGGGCGTGGCTACTATAGCAGGTGGAGCCATGGGAAGAGAAATTCAGATAGTTACAGCAGTGAAAGCCAAAATTCGCTGCAGTTATGCCTTCAAAGATTAAACAGGTCATGAACACGTCAAAGGAAATAGAACATCGTGATGCTATGCGCTAAAGCATGCTTCGGTATCATACAGCATCATCATGCACCCGTTCAAGAAGACACATTTTCATTTAGTGTCACTGAATCTACATACTTCAATTTTAAAGTAAAGTTAAGGAACATTTTACGTTGATATTAATCATGTATTAGATGCTATTTTCATAGATGGCAAGTCACATGGTCATGACTAACCAGCTCTCTCCTTAAAATGTGTACAGAATGCAGTGATCTGATTAGACATTATAACCCGGCCGGGATCGAACTAAACGGCCCACATTAGAGTTGATGTTACAACGTACAATACAGATGTTGTTACAACGGTACAATACAGATTGTTTCAAAGTGGCTTCACGGTAATAAACGGGAAAATAACATAATCAGCGATGCAAACAATTTTTGCTTTGTTTTTCAAAGTCAAGTCATCTTAATTTATATAGTGCTTTATATATGTCCAGTTTGTGTATATTTATGTGTGTGTGTTTATATATATATATATATATAGATATATATTTACATTAATAAAAATATAACGGTTCATTGGTTGTTCATGTTAGCTCATTAAAAAGATACAAGTTTTGATACTACATTAAGATTAACATAAACGTTTCTCCGCTGATCCACACCTGTCAACGATTTGGCGCGAGAAAGTTCGGTAACACTTTAGAATACGGTTCCTTCGTTAATGAATAACTACACAAGAACTAATGAGTAACACAATATTAACAATCTAGTAACTATTATTAACTAACAAGAAACTCTGATTAACAAACTAGTAAGTAATAGCGCACAGTTGAAAGTGGTAGTTCACTATTAAGTAATCAATAACTACTTTTTTTTTTAAAAACTTCCCAGAGAACTACAGAAAAAGTTTATTAACAATCTAGTAACTACTATTAACTAAAATAAATTCTTATTAACGAATTAGTAGCTCACAGATGAAAGTGTTAGATACTTCTGTGGGAATTACTAATTATTTGGATTCGTATTATAAAGTGAAGATCATTGGAACTAACTAGTAATGACTCAAGTGTTACTAAAGACATTTTCTAAAAGTATACTAAAGTTCACCAAAAATCTCAAACGTTTGCACAAATCATGATCATGTAGTAACACTTGAGTAATTACTAGTTAGTTCCTATGATCTTCACTTTATAATACGGATCCAAATAATTAGTAAGTTAAGTAATATCTCACAGATGAAAGTGTTACTAGATACTTCTGTGGGAATTACTAATTATTTGGATCCATATTATAAAGTGAAGATTATTGGAACTATAGTAATTACTCAAGTGTTACTACATGATCTAGTCATGATTTGTGCAACCGTTTGAGATTTTTGGTGAACTTTAGTATACTTTTAGAAAATGTCTTTAGTAACACTTGAGTAATTTCTAGTTAGTTCCAATGATCTTCACTTTATAATACGAATCCAAATAATTAGTTTTTGTGTAGTTATTCATTAACGAAGGAACCGTATTCTAAAGTGTTACCGAAAGTTCTTCAGTTACCGTTTTTAAAAGAGGCAGCAGAGTTTTAGTTTGTTTAAGTTTTTGGGCACTTGTTTATAATTATTGCACTTAGGCCAATAATCAGTTATAACCCCATTAATCTAAATCTAAAATAATTCCCTAAATACCTAGGTTGGTTCATAGAGAGAGTCTAGGTGGGATCTCACTTGGCTTTTAGTAGCCTACACATAAACACATGACAAACAAGTTGGAAATGCATGTGAATCTTGTATATTGCTTTTCGCTTTTGTATCACGAACAGTTCTCGCCCTGAGCAGTCCAGCCCTGGCAGCGGTGACGTCATCGAGCGCTAGGTTGAGCAGCAGAGAGAGAGAGACAGCGAGAGACTGAGAGAGAGAGAAAGCGCGAGAACGCTGCGGTGGAGTTCCTATAGGGCCTGCGAACGAAGGACTAGGAGGACAACGGCAAACATTCTGAACGGGATTTCCATAGCCCTCTTCTGCATGCACCCACACCGAACGGCCGATTCCACCCGCATCCCTTCGTTCCCCCCCGTTCTGTCCAGAGGCAACCTGTAAAGGTAAAGAACGACGAGCGCATAAAGTTGGTGCGTGAGCGTGTTTGGCAGCTTGACGGGAGGTGTATTCGGTGTTTCGTGGTTCACTGCAATAGGTTTCGAGACGAAAAAGTCTTGCTGAAAAGCGAAAGCGTTATTTAATTCGCTTATAACCCAACGTAAGACTCATAAAGTCACACGTACAGTGATTTTGTCTTCTGAATTTGCCGCTGGTTAAATACTGAATGAAGCTTTTGTGTGCTCACGCCAGTACAATAGCAGCGAGGTCAGTAAGAATCGAGTCTTCGAATCTTTCCTTGCGAATCAGAGCGAGGTGCTATTAGTGGTACCGAAACCAGTTGACTTTTTGCGATATTGTTTGTTTTTCTGTGACACTGTGCAACGTCTCAACGCAAGAACGCATGTTTTACTTGTCATTGATTGTAGACTTTCATTTTGTCATCGTAATATATGAAATAGTCTTGCAAAGAAACACTGCAATCCTAGAATGTTGCAGTTGGGATGTTTTTGGATCACTAGGAGCCAATACCAATTGTTAAGTGTTTAATTTCATAGGAAAGTGATTTTTTTTTTCATTTTAATATATTTATTATAGAGGAAACTTGATTTCACTTGAACAGATAGCTTACTGATAGCAATTATTAACTTGCCAATATTATGCAGAACAGTTTTTTTTAATGATCTTGATTATTATTATTAATAAATATTTCATAATATTTGGGTTAACCTATTTGGTTGCATACATTCCTGAAACTGTTGTTTACATTTTCTGCTCAGTGCAAACATTGCCCTGTAATTAATATTAATAAACCAGTTTTCATTAAGGTCAAGCTCATCTAAATATACATATTCATGCTTAAAGGGGTATGTCATCAAACTCACCCTCATTCCAAACCTGTATGCATTTTGTTTAACTTGTGATTGATATTTTGTGGATCATTGGGATCCAAATAACTTTGGACCCCATTGACTTTGATGTTATGAAAAAAAAAATGTCTTCTGTTATGTTCAACAAAAGTAAGAAAGCAATACAGGTCTGGACGAAATGATTTAATAAGTATCCCTTGTTTGGTAGGTATGTTTAAGTCAATTAAGTTATTCAAACAACACAATAAAATATGAAATAACGTTTAAATAATTGACTGTTAATGCTGTTGCTCGGTGGTGTTGTTGTTCAGGGATCCACCAGATGGATTTGATTAGTAGACCTGACAGTTGAAATCGGTCAATATCCTATGTCTGCCTTTCTCTTTAGCATCTGTTGCACAGCATTTACCCTCCTGTGATATTTCTGTGGAAGGGAGCATCCTTTGCTCTCTCTGCTGTATTCCAGACCGTGTGTGCATGCCAGAGATAAAGGAATTGGACTGTTGCTCTAAATCCCGTAGTTCTCTAATTTGGAAGCTTTTGGCACAGGGGCACGAAAATCGGATAGGGCAAGAATAATGAGCTGCTGGCACCATTTCCCTTGGTATTTTCATTCAGTGGCTGTAGTCGAAAGTGGAAATCCGGTTGGTCATAAATTCATTACATATATCATACGATGACTGTGCTAAATTTACCAATTCTCACTCTGCATCAGGTCAGATGCCGTTCAGCCCTCTCAAAGACTTCCCCTTCGTAGATCAGATTGAAGCTCAATTTAAAATTGTTTGTAAATGTAAATGCAAATGTCATACAGGTTTAATGTGCTTGACTGTCATGTATTGCAGTAATACTATGCTTTATGATCCATCTCTTTTTAATTTAAATATGAATTAGCTGTGGCTCTTATCAGAATATTTTACAATGGCACATTAATCCTGTAAAGCCTGACATGAAATAAGTCAGACAAATCTATTTGGAACAGTTTTTACAATGAACATTGTAATGTTTGAAGCAGATGTCATAAATCTCAGAAGACCGGGAAGATTTTAAAACGAGCGGTTCATTCATAAATCCGCAAGGTCCTACCTTCATGCTGTGGAAATACAATCCAGAAGATAAGACAGAAAACAATGAGAGCAGCGCTGAAAACTGGCGGGGCTACATTATGTCTATAGCTGACTGCATACAGAAATGCAACATAAATGCATGTATCAGTTGTTGTCAATGTGTTTCTCAGATATAGGCCTATGTCTTATAATAAGATGATATTTAACCCTCTATTGGTCCTCATGTACAGTAAAAAATGAAAAATATAAATTTTTAATAATACAATGATATATCAACATTTTCATTTACTTCTCAACTATACATTTATGCAGTGGTTTGGGGGGATATTATGCTCCCTTATTGTTATTATATATATATATATATATATTTTTTTACCTATTTACCATAAGAATATTCAACTTGACCATTACTTTGCTTGTGAAATAATAAATTTTTTGGCCATTCGTCCACATGAACACTTCAAAACCACAGCTTTTTTATGCCGTTTGGCCGTTCGTCCACACGAACACTTCAAAACCACCACTTTTTCTACACCGTTTGGCCATTCGTCCATGCAAACACTTCAAAATCATTGCTTTTTTTACGCCGTTTGGCCATTTGTCCACACAAACACTTCAAAACCACAGCTTTTCTACGCCGCTTGGCCATTCGTCCACGCGAACACTTCAAAACCACAGCTTTTTCTTCGCCGTTTGGCCATTCGTCCATGTGAACACTTCAAAACCACAGCTTTTTCTACGCTGTTTGGCCATTCGTCCGCGCGAACACATTCGTCCACGCAAACACTTCAAAACCACAGCTTTTTCTACGCCGTTTCGCCATTGGTCCACGCGAACACTTCAAAAGCACAGCTTTTTTACACCGTTTGTCCATTCGTCCATGCGAACACTTCAAAACCACCGCTTTTTCTACGCCATTTGGCCATTCGTCCACACGAACATTTCAAAACGACTGCTTTTTCTATGCCTTTTGGCCATTCGTCCATGCGAACACTTCAAAACCACAACTTTTTCTATGGCGTTTGGCCATTCGTCCACGGCTCCACGCGAACACATTCGTCCACGCAAAGTCGCGAACACCTCAAAACCACAGCTTTTTCTACGCAGTTTGGCCATTCGTCCACGCGAACACTTCAAAACCACCGCTTTTTCTACGCCGTTTGGCCATTCGTCCACACGAACACTTCAAAACCACCGCTTTTTCTACACCGTTTGGCCATTCGTCCACGCGAACACTTCAAAACCACAGCTTTTTCTACGCCGTTTGGCCATTCGTCCACACGAACACTTCAAAACCACAGCTTTTTATACGTCGTTTGGCCATTTGTCCACGTGAACACTTCAAAACCACAGCTTTTTCTACGCTGTTTGGCCATTCGTCCGCGCGAACACATTCGTCCACGCAAACACTTCAAAACCACAGCTTTTTCTACGCCGTTTGGCCATTCGTCCACACAAACACTTCAAAACCACAGCTTTTTCTACGCCGTTTGGCCAATCGTCCAAACAAACACTTCAAAACCAAAGCTTTTTCTATGCCTTTTGGCCATTTGTCCACGCAAACACTTCAAAACCGCAGCTTTTTCTACGCCATTTGGCCATTCGTCCACACGCAAATGCAGTATCTGGTCACTGAAACCGAACCCTTTTGAAAACTCATGCCAGGCTGAAGATGTTTAGGAACGAAAAGGTTGCAGTGTTGTCGTGTGGAGATTTTGGCTTGTGACGTCGGAACCAGAAACGGTAATACCATTTTTTCCAGGCTTCTGATTGGCCATAATTGCTTTATGGTCAGGGTTATATCGCCACCTGTTGGTTTGGAATGCTCTTGATAGCACTTCATAGTGTTGCGTTTTTGCGTTTTTTTTGTTTTTTTTCATGTGGAAGCAAATTCTTTTGTAAACGAAGGAGGAAAAGCTTGTTTTATAAAAATCATTTCTTAATAGTAAGAAATGAATAATAAAAAAGTTAATAAAACCAACACCAAAAAAGAAATCAGCAATAATCTATCATGAAGAGGAGTCAAGAGTGAACAGTGTACAATAGCGTAAGCACTCTTCAGCGTTCTTCTTCATGAGCATTTGAGCGTGTGGGTAAAAACTAGCCTATAGTGCCATCTGCTGTTAAAAATGAAGCTCAGAATCGATTGGAGAGAGAATTGTGATGCATACCGAAAATCTTCTCCCTGAATCCCGATGCATCGATTTATTGTCCCAGATGGCGATCTTGCATGTGTTTTACTTGACAGGTGAGTAATACTGTGTTCTGTATTCAAATTTCATGTCAGTAAACGATGTAAAACAATTAGTATTATTGTTAGAATGTCTTGTTGTCTATGCATATGATGTGAAAAATCGTAAGGTCATATTCACCGCAAATACTTCTCGGAATGTGAACTGTTGGCTGTATCTTAGAAAATGACGTTTATCTGAAAAGTGTTTCAATCGTCCCGGCTCTCCCCTAACATCTGTGATAACTAATTTACTTTTAAACCTTACTTTTCTTGCGGTTCTTTCAGTTTAATGAAAAACAAGCATGTCATTAAACGCAACAGTTATAGAAATCGAACTTTACCTCATCCATGATAACTAATTTTCAATTCCCGTCTGACTGATTTATCCACGGTGGAGTTGAAAACAACAGTTCCCATCATTCCGCGTTCCTCCACTGCGTCATCAAGCAAAGCCGTTGTTGTTGTTTTGAATGTAGCGCCCTCTAGTGGCATAAAATCTTAGGTATTATAGCTTTAAGTAAGAGTGTTTAACTTTCTTCTACCTCAATCCAGAATGGCAGGACAGCTGAAAGGTTTGTTTGAACTGCGTTCTACTCTACAGACATGAATTTGGATTTCCTTCTGTCTGAGGCTTATTCATTTGACTTTTGTTGTGAAAGGCCCTTTTCATTTGCCTTTTTAAAAAAAAATTTTTTTAGAAAAATTACGGTAAAAAGTATAACTCAACGCATTATTTACTTTCCTTAAAAAAGTAGTTACTCTTTTAGGGAGTAATCCAATATTGTAATGTAACTTTCCCCAACACTTACTAAAACATTAGCTTCTCAGTTGCATTG